GACACTTGGCTGACCCTTGATCTGAGCATTCTCTTTATATGCATCGATGCCACGCTGCATATCTTGCGGTTTCAGAGTCAAGAGTCCCAGGTCGATAAGAAGGCCTCCATTTCGATACTCAGGAAGGCCTGTTAGAAGGTCGCTGCCGGCGAAGTGGATGAGCATCAATTTCGACATTGGAACCATGATCGAATAGCATAGCCATTGTGTCAGCTTGTGGAATGGAACGATGCTCTCCCATTGCTGTGCTGGAGGAGAATTGGGGAGACCCGAGCACTTCCAAGCATCTCCAATGGATACTCGGTCAATCTGTGTTCGTGAGGGGGGCCAAATGGGAGAGAAGCCATCCATGAGCACGGTCCACAAAGTGGTAATTGGAACAATAGGGACGGAGGAAGCAAGCGTTGATGGATGACCCAGAAGATAATCTGAGTAAAAAGGATTAGTCTCTGACCAAGAGCACGCACACAAAAGAGCCAGATTTTCTCACCTAGCATATTTCCCGGTCTAGCGTCCACACCGAAGAAGTCTTGATTGTTAAGTGCCTCGGAGAGCCGTATCAACAACCCCGCGCGGCCTTCAATACCAGCCAGTGGATTTTGTTCAGAATGTTGCATCCCCTTGGCGAGCACCTCGGTCGTAATCTTTTTGAGTCCTGCTCCATCCACCTGACAGGGCTCGGTAGGATCGCTACTGAAAAGACCCGACTTGAACATCTCCAAACTCGCCACAGCCAAGCCTTCACTGCGCGAGAAGACTTTACCAGACTCCTTCGACCGGTATGACCACTTATTCCCAGAGCCAGCATCGAGCAGAACGGACACGACAAACAAATCAATTAAACGGCGGGTGCGTTCCTGGGCATCAATACGACTGGGCCAGGACTGGAGAAGCTGGTTGATGCGGGGTCTACCGCCAACGTCGAAATGCTGCCAGCGACCATGCGGGGGGATGTTCTCGTAGTCTGGCGCATAATCTCGCTATTGGGAAAAAAAAAAAAACATGTAAGCGCAAGTTCACATGATCGTAGCAGTCACTTGGATTTACCTTTATGATAGAGACGACGTAGGAGGCGGTAGCTTCGAATTTGCTCATGTCGACATCGAAATGGTTCAGTTGGTTCTTTTTCGCCTTGTTCAGGATGATATTGGAGCGTTCGCGCACTGCATGAATGCTCCGTAGGTATGCGGCCGGGTCCAATGCTGGATCCGGTGGTCTGGCAATAGGGAGTTCTGGAATTGAAGCTGGCGGACCACTTCCCTTGTATCCTGGAGATCTCAGGGATGTATTTGACGTGCGAGCGCTGTTGACCGATACGAAGGAATCATTTTCATTCTCACTTAGACTAGAATTCTTTGAATCCTTGCGCTTGAATATCCCCATTGTTTCGAGTGGAAGCTTCACCCCAGACTTTGGAAGGGGTTTGAAAGGGGACACCAGTGGAGAAGTTGAAAGGAGGGGTGTGAGGAGAATAGTTCAGATAAGGGAGTTTACAAAGAGGGGGAACTGACATCTGGATGTGATGTTTTTTCTTTCTTTTTTTTTTTTTTTTTTTTACTAACATAACATAAGAAAGACTCTTAAGGGTAAAAGCTAAGAAAAAATAGGTAAAATAGTAATAAGTAATTATTTTATTATTATTATGGGGCATGATGACTGAAGCTCTTTCACTTGTCAAACCCATTTAGTTCGGGCTAGATGTCTGAATATTAATAATTTGAATATTATACCTAGGTATTTTAGGGGGGAATTGAGAATGAATGCTTGGGAAATACAAGATACAATCCACAACTCGTACTTTAGTATGTAGAATATGCAGAGTGTACCGAATATGTTGTACGCCGAGTTAACCCAACACTTCAACCTACTAGTGTATGTACATCGTGCATCGATGTACATATCTTAGGTTTAGTATAACTATTGGACTCCGTGCTCCGTACTCTATGTCACAATAATAATTGTACCCTACAACATAGCATACAAAGCCATTCTAAACGGAGTAGTAGCTCCGTACACATTCCCGAGAATAAATTGGCATCGATTGTCGTAATAGATGGGGCCCGGAGAAGTGAACCAGTCGGAACGCGAGAGAAGAGACTATCATTCCACTGTACAAGGGGCGAACGAATCATATTTTAGGGAATGCATGAATAGGAATACAAATATCAAGTAAATTTTGGTTCATTAGGGGGATGGGCCACCGGGTGGTACGTGTAGAGATCGTTAGCTTGAATATCGATCAGACCATGCCTTATTAGGGGAAATACAAGATGTTTAGGAAAAGAAAAGCGAATACATGCGGAAATGCACGGGCTAGCGTACCGTTCGAAGGAAAAAAGGAAGAAAGAACAGAAAAATAAAATAAAAAAATAAAAAATAAAATAAAGGGGCACGGCTTGCCCTATACGGAGTACGGAATATCGAATCCACTTCGGATCAAAGATTTGTGTGAATGGGCCAGCGATCTCACATCGCGTTAATTCTCATTTCTCGTGCAAGTCTGTTAAACAAGCGCATGCTAGGGAGACTTTGTGCGTTTTCTTCCAATATTAAGATATAATTTATCATTGTGTTTTAGCCCTAGAGGGGGCTAGAGAGGGGGATAAATCTGGTATTTAATACATCCACCGGAAACCGGAGAATTAATTGATTTTCGATATCAGGGTGTTTCCTCCAGCCTATCAGCCAGAAGAGGAAGACCCCTACAACGTCTCTCAAGTCCAGACTCCAAGGTTTCATTTTACAATCTGCCCCTCCTTGGGAATAATGTCCACTATCTGCAACATAGAAGAGTTCCTTATTTGTCAAATAGATATGTTGTATGGAGTTTATGATATATGTAACAACATACTCCATAGTTGTGCGAAGGATCACACTGACACCTATGACGTTGAAATCCTTCGACTCGAAACAATTCTTTTATTTAGTTGTAGGGGTCTCATCTCCGGGACCGTTTAAGCCCAACTCCCATTTAAACCGCAATGCAACCAAGGGCCTAGCTAACGGGAAGCACGGGCCTGGCCACTGTGCTGGGTCGTTTCAGGTTAACTATGTTTATTTCATTTCATTTTATCCATATTCTTTCTTTCTTTCTTTCTTTCTTTCTTTCTTCTTTCTTCCTATGAGAATAACATCCGAAGAGGGATCATGGGATCAAAAGTTATACGGAATACTCCATACATCCTATATCGAGGGACAAAATATGTATTGTGCGGAAGTGACCTTGTTATAATTATCCGAGCCCTGAAAGTCAGGGGTAAGACACGGATATGATCCACCGATTGGATTTCCATTCGCTACCGCGCGGCTCGTCTCCCGAGGGTTCCGCTGTGGTGGCACTTCCCATTACAGTCAGGTAAATACTCAGACTACAGAGTACTCGTGATAATACAATATACATATATGATATATGATATATAACCTAAATAACACCCCGCCGGACTCTTTATCCCCTACTTCAAGTAGATAGTGTATCAATAGTAAAGAACTCATTTTTGAGATCATAATGCGGGGTTTGGCCTAGAAAATGGGTATCTAAAAAGTAAATATCAATAAATAATGATACAATTTATAATACCAAATCTGACCTCGGCAGCTTTGGAGGGTCTAGATTATTGGATACGAAGTACTCCGTAGCCAAGTACTCCCGAGGTCCGTCCACCGAACGGGGTACAGTAGATAAAAAATTAACTATAGCAAGGTATATTCTTAGGGCACTTTTTGAATGTCTCTTTAGATGTGTCTCTGGATGACACAGTTCTAAGCAAACGGCTGTTGCTAATTTAGCTACGTGATTGCCATACGCTTGATAATGCAGGCAATGGATCGCTCCTGCCGGCAATTGATAGTCGTAGGTAGGGTAGAAGCCCGGAATAACATGGATATACCCTTACCCATCTTTTATTTTATCCACTTCTTGCCTACCTATAGGTACCTAGGTATATAACTAGGTAGATATTAAGGTTTCTGTTCTACAAAACTAAATTCTCAACAACACTACGGGGTACTCAGCTGTCACATTTCAAATTAGAGAATTAGAGAACTACTCGCTAGCGTGACAGAGAGAGAACATACGACACACGAACGCCACCGCCACCACAAAGAGTCGGACGATACTTCTGATTCTGACTACGACGAAAGAGATACAGTTCTAGCTCGTGGTTGGTTATGCTATTATTGTAATCTAGTAAAATATGGGTTTCGCCTTGTATAGACCTCCCCAAACGGATACCCCGGATCCGGCAGATATTCGAGAATGGCTTGATGAGAATGGCTAACGTAGTGAGTATTTTTCTTTCCATTTTCCATTTCCCTTGTATAAGAAGCTGAAGCCCAGCAGCTAACTTTATCCATAACAATAGAAACTGCCCAAGTGGCGGGACTCGATGAACTAGTCGAAGCCATCGACCACCCTACGTATCGTATAGAGGATAACATAGAGGTCATTCCTTTAGGACAAGCTTATTGCGGCCATTAGAGCGACATATAGAGGAATGAACTCTTCCACGCAGAATTTGGACCAAGGGGTCGGTCGGGCAACAATCCACCGGTCTTACCCTCATCCCGAGTAACAACAGTTCAACTTCCAGCCACCATCCCAGGAGCTATCATAGAGACGCTAGATACCCACAACCCCAACGACCTCTACCAGACTAAGTCAAATGTGTTAACGTACGATTTGATAAGAACTTCACTTGACTAGAAGCAAAGATTAGGAAGGAAGCTCATGGGAGCCCCGCTTGAATTAGAAAACCTTTGGTTTCGGGGATTATTTTTAAGTGTATTAGAATCGACCCTGGCCTTCTTTATCCCCAGAAATGAGCCAGCTAGTTGCCTACAGCTAGAAAGAATGCAAAGCCTCGTCCAATTCGCTCCGAATGATTATCTTCGTGCTGAGCTTAGGGAGTAATTCTCAGCCTCAGAATTCCTGTCTCTACCGAAGTATGCACATCGATGAAGTCAAGACCGCTCCAGTTTAGCAATCATTACTTATTGCTACAATGTCCTATTATTTCTATATTAATTTTTCGTATGTCAATAGATAAAAAGGTAAGTTGGAGGTAAGTATTATGTAGCGTGGATTGTCTGCATACAGCCTTGTACGCAAATAGTACGTATCCAGGTGACGGCGAAAAGACCACGATTGTGCGTGGTCTTTTGAAGGGAAATCGTGGTCTTTTCACCCAGCGCTCGCGTTGGAGCATTGAATACAACAGCCAAGTTAGGTCTAGCGCCCTTACAGGAGTAAGTACCTAGATATTCATCATACATCGACGCCCTCGGCGCGTATATCATGGATAAAAGATATAAAGGCAAGATATAAAGGCAGTATAAGTCCTCGTTTATTCTTCTCGTCACCACCGGCAGCAGCCCAGCCCTCAAAAAAGGCCAATATCAATGAGGGACTGAAGAACAGAAAACATGATTGGCTCCTCTATAGCAAGTCGCATGGTTTTTTCCTCTTTTGTTTCCAGTTTATGGAAGAGCTTGCGGGCTGCCAGAGCCAGCTGCTGTCGCGTAGCATCTTGACCTTCGAAGATGGCTACTTCAACAGCGTTCAAGCTTTGAATTAGCTGTTCTGCGCTGCTGGTCATATGGAAAAGGATTTGAATCGCCTTCGAAGTGAACGATGAATGAGAAGTCAATCCTCGCTAATTGAGCAAGATATTGATACTTAATCCTGGATCACCGTCTCTCCAGTAACCAGCGGCTTTTTATGTGTCTGTGAAGCCAATGCAACATGAACAGTCCATAAGTACAATGGGCCGACATATATCGCCCCGGTCCACGTCCGGAGAGACCCCAGAGCTGACATCGTAAATTCGGGTCTAACACCGAAAATAGAATCTTTGCCGAAACTCGGATCTGGCCGAAGGACCCCACAGCAGAAATCTATAAAGACTCGTAATGTACTAGTGCTACGGCCGAGAAGATGTGCTGTTCGAGAAAAAAGAAGAAGAAAAAGAAGAAGAAAAAAACCCGGTGACAGGAAGTAAAAATAAATGTTCTGATTGCTAAGTTATAAACCTTTGATATATCTTTCGTACAAGAGTGGCCATTGAGTCCACCTCCAAAAAAGAAAGAAAAAGAAAAGTGAGGAATACGTTTAGAAGTCTTCTCCACGAGTAATAACTTCTTTAACGTTAGGCCGAAGTAGAATTGTCTGAGTTCCCTCAGTGGGATGTTCCTCTCCAGAAAAGAAGAAGGAGGGTGACTTGCGTGTTCGAACTGGGCCGTATAGGTCCCCTGTTTCTCACTCAGAGGGGGGTAATCTTCGACAATTCCCGATTTCACTAAATTATTCAACTGTCTTTTATGTCAGTCAATAGTTCCAATCCAATGTTTTGAAGGAAATTCCATACACCAAGGAGATACTTCTCTTGTCCAATTCTGTCCAAATAGCGCCGGCAGAAAGGGATAGTGCTAAAGTTTTTCTTGATAGCGCCCAATACATTTCTTGCTGAGGAAAGAGTCAAGTCCTTCCTGTTTGCGTCACCGCGTAGAGCATAATGAGAGACTTCACCCCCATCTACGTATCGACCGGCACCGGTACTGCCGAATGTTTCGATAGCAAAAACATCCCCTTCTTCCATCTTTGTCATGTCATTGGATTTGACAAAAGGGACATTCTTAGTCCCGTGGATCGAGTAAGGAAGGATTGTGTGACCGGACAAGTTACGAATGGCCTTTATCGGATGAGTCTTGCCATTGATTTCACACTCGTAACTTTCCATAGCCTCTTGGATTAAGCCACCCAACTCCCCGACTCGAACATCGATACCAGCTTCCCGCACACCAGTATTGGTTGCATCCTTGACGGCTGCCAGTAGATTATCATAGACAGGATCGAATGCCATTGTGAAGGCACTGTCCACAATCCGACCGCCTACGTGGATACCGATATCGACCTTGAGCACATTGCTTTCCTTGAGCACCGTCTTGCAGCCAGCGTTTGGGCTGTAATGGGCGACAACGTTGTCAATGTTCAGACCGGTGGGAAATCCCATACCGGCTATCAAGGAGTCGCCTTCGGTAAGACCATCATGTCCCACTAAACGTCGCGCACTATCCTCGATGCCGTTGGCAATCTCCAGGAGTGTTTGACCAGGCTTGATGCTTCTTTGTGCCCACTGACGGACCTGACGATGTGCCTCAGCTGCCTGGCGATAATCGGAAAGGAAATCAGAATTCAGATTGTCCAGGTATCGCTTCTCCTCGCTGGTAGTTCGGTATCGATTGTCGTCCTTGTACTCGACCTCTTCTCCCTTGGGGTAGGTGTTGTTCGGGAACAGCTGGGATATGGGAATCGATGGAGGATCGGTCTGAGTCTTTGGCTCTTTCTTCTTGGGCTTCTTCTTCTTGTTCTTCTTCTTCTTGGCAGCGCTAGCATCAACGGCTACTGCCGGTTGATTTTCACCGTCACTAGTAACAGCCGGGAGAAAATTTAAAGAAAGATTAGGACAAACCTACTTTTTGAAGTTGCGATCTATATGCCCCACGGATTTCAGCGTGGAATCGGTATGATCCGCGTTAACTCCGGGATCTTCTTATTAGATGAATATGTGACATCCAATCGGTTTCATCAAGCTTAGCTTCACTTTTCTTCGGCATTTTGCCAGCGGAGCAGTTCAATATTGTCAGGATGTAGAACGGCGACGCCGAAGATATAGAATTATCTAGGGATGATATCTGTGAACGAGTTGGCCAGCATCAGCAAAAAGGATATGGAGCCAGAGCTTTTATGTAGGCCTCAATTGACGATATGATAAAATTCAAAGCAGCTACTAATCTACCTTCTAGGCCATCAGTTACGCCTCATGGCAGCGAACCATATTATCAAGGAAACAGCAAACGACCACTACGCCCTTACGCCTTACTCCCTTGCTTATCGGGGATTTGAGCACCTAGGTCGCCCTAGGCTTTCGGATTAGGTAGGTTACAACGTTCCTGCCATCGTGACCACAGCCCCCAAGGGACTATGTTCTTCAACTCTACCTCATCCAATCATCCTGGAGGCAGGAATCCAAGTCGCTCTTGCTGGCTTTTGCCGCCCCGCGAGATTGTTCCTTGCGGACACCTTTCACCACTACGAAGATCGGCCGGTTGGTATTGTTTCCGACTTCATACGATGGCCTTGCCGCTCCAGCCTCACTAACTGTCAACGCACGCCTACCAGAAGACACGCCATGGCGTGGAACAAAACTACCGGCGATCAGAGGGGATATCGATATTTACAATTCGGAGACTGGAGAGATGCACATACGCATCGAAGGCCTCATGATGACCTCCGTGACGTGCGCCAGTAAAATTCAAGACAAGCTGGTATATCTAAAGACAACATGGCAGCAGGATATCCTCTCCGGGACTGTGTTTGAAAACAATGATTGCATCGCGCATTATGTGGACTTGTATCTTTTGCAAGCTGAGAAATACACGTTAGCCTCAATTTGGCAGATCTCGCATCGATCGCCGTCACTGTAGCTGGAGTACGGAATACGAATACTCCGTATGTAAATTTGTACTGCTATTCCCTACTCCTTACGGATAGATTTCGCAAAGACCCATCATCCAGTTTAGCCACTGACGGATTCTTCCGCCTCGTGCTCCGTATATATGGAGTGTATCCGGTAGTGACCTGCCAAACTTCATTAGCCTGCTAATACATGAAGATTTCTCAATTTGTGCTTTTTAAACTGTACAACATACAATATAGACTGTTGTACGGAGTAAACGATTTAACGCCATGAGTTTAACACACCACCCCCTCTCGAGGCTCCCAAAGAAGACCGTATTGGCACTTGCTAGTATGTTGTTGTTATACGGAGTAACTATTACATCCCCCGCTACCCCTTTTTAATCTTCCAGAAAAGAAAAATTAGTTCTAGACTGAGCCAAGTATTGCATTTCCCACTCATGACATACCCAATTGGGATAGGATGTGCGTTGGCCAAAAGTATAAACGGAGACGACCTGCCGCGGCGACAACTAAGGAGACTGGGATATCTCCCGATCCTTTGCTTCCATTATGATTGAACGGCAGTTCGGGTTGAGTTTTGTTTCGGCCGGGGTTACGACGACGTACAACGTGTGTACTCCGTATGTCTACGGAGTAAAATATCATAGGGTACGTCCCTTCCGATTAGGGCTAGAAACCGGCGATCTCTCTCGGCATTTGAACAGAGACTTTGTGTTTTTTTGTCGTTTATACTGTAAACGTTTAAACTGTCAACGGGAGCCCTGTAGTTTGTACGGAATATGGTTACGGAATATTTGAGTGGCTACTGGCATATTTTCGAACCTCCCAAGTGATGGACCTGTAGGCCGTTATACAGCCACCGGGAAAGGATCCAAAAGCTTAGACTGTGGAAGTCCTAAAGATTGACGAAGCACTCCCGCTTTCTATAGTGCTTTTCCTGCCTTTTTCCAGACATAGCTTTGCCGGCAGAGGTATATTCCCCGTTGCCAATAAAACTGAGATTTATCGCTTTCCTAGTGTAAGCTTCTGGATCTTTTCTCAGTGGCTGTATCATGACCTGCACCAGTTCATAACCGGGGGATTTGGGTGAAGGGGTGACATAGATATCTCGAACCAGTTGTAGGTGTAATGCCAGATTGTGTATTTTCCATTTATCGGATTTGCCGGCTTCGTAGGGGTCAGTTGGCTGAAGAAAATATGGCGATAACCATGCAACTTTACTTCTCAGGTTGATTTAGGGGCTGAGGGTAATTTGAGTGATCATTGCGTTGCTGAGAAATCACGATGTAGTGCAAAAACAGAGGTCACTAGACTAGGAGATCTCTCACATCGACGTCATTGGCATACCCCTTAGACTAGCTTCGTTCATGTTAGAGGCAATTGATTTCTCTGATGCTTTTAACCTCAATGTCAAGAAATTGGATAGCCAGATGGGCGAACTGATATTTGCCCGGACAACAATTCAAAAGAGATGAAGCTATTCCAAAATGCGGGCGGGAGATGAAACAACGGCATCACGTGCCGGCCTCAATGCGGTCTGGATCCCCCACATGTAGGGGGCAAGTGTTCTCTGCATCTGCTTGATAGCATAGCAAACGGTCGTTGAAATTGCTTCGGGCTTCTTTCATATTGTGAGCTGGTGAGATCATGGAAAACCTTCATCCCTCTTCTGGGACCTAATCCTCATTCGAAACCACCAGACGTCACCTCCATCCTTTGCGACAAGCTCACCATGGAGGATCTAAATGGCTTGAGTTGGTCCTCCGACTCCAAAAGCCCAAGCAAACCACCGCCAATGAGCTCTGGGTACTTGTACCCAAGTATCCCATCAAGTGGCGGCTCCGGCCGGTCTACCCCGTTATCTGCGACCTCGAACCGCTCAAGCTCGCCATCGAAGCCCGCCACTTCTACCGGAGATAGCTTCGCGAATCTGGTCTCATTCAATTCTTCTGCCGGAAACAAGAACCTTTCTCTCATGGAACAGCAGAAGCGCTTGCAGGAGGAAAAGGCTAAGAAGGAAGCCGATAATCGCAGTCGGTTCGAATCGCAATACGGAGGCCAGAACAACCAATTCTGGGACAACTTTGAAGGACGCACGCGGAGCCCTGCATCTATACCGGCTCCTCAATCTGCACCACCGCCCGCGGACGATGAGGATATACTGGCCGCCTTCGATGCTGCAGCGCCGGTAGATGCATCGACCCATTTCCCAGTCCCCATCTCATCGAGAACGTCGCCTCAAATCGATGTGAACAGTCGCACAGAGCCATCCAATGGAGGAATTAGTATGCATGATAACACGGGGGGTATGGGCGCCTTTGATGACGATGACCCATTCGGCCTCAATCAATTGAAGCCGAAGTCCGCTCCCGCTCCTCAGCCTCAGCCTCAACAAGCCGATGATGATGATTTCCTTGGTTTGCTCGGGAAGCCGGTATCAGATATCCCCCACCAGGAACCGCCCCCCACACCCGCCACACCTTCAGATCGTCGACGAGACCAAGATGCATCTCCTATGCCTTCCAGCGAGGTCGATCGGGCTATTGCGGAGCTGGTGGACATGGGATTCCCCGCGGATAAATCTCGTCGGGCTTTGAATACCACGGAGTCCGGGACTGACATACAGGCCGCTGTTAGTTGGCTTCTTACTCAAGCCCATGCGGAATCTCGGCAGAAGACTGAAGGGCACCCTAGTACAACTCTTTCTGCCGATCGCGTTGAAAGGAGTGACAGTCGTAACCGCAACAGGCCTTCTTGGATGAGGGAAGAAATGGCAGAATCTCGATCACGTCACGACAGACGGAGTCCAGCACCAGCGGACAAAGACCCTGCGCAGGTTGCCTCTCAATTTGGTAATAACCTGCTGAAATCAGCCGGCTCCCTTTGGAAGACAGGTAGCAAGAAGTTCCAACAAGCTGTAAATGAATTCAACGCCGAGCAGGACCCCAGCCAGCCACGTTGGATGAGAGATGGTTCCCCCTCACAAGATGAACCTCCTTTGCAGCCGCAACATCCAGGTCGTCGTGATCAGCTGACTCAATCCCAAAGAGAGCAGCAGGACTTCACTAATGAAGCGCTTCTTCTTGAGTCTGGAGATGGTCGGCCTCAGAAACCTCCCCGTCCTCGGGAAAGCCACCACCCCGACCCGAGAAGCCAGCCTCCTCGTAATCAACAGTTCCCTGGGCCGACCCAGCCAAGGCAACAACCCAACTTCCTCCAGCGTCCATCCCGACCAAGCTCTCAAGATCCTAAATCTAGACTTTCACGGTTTGCCGCTGAAGAGCAGCAGGCGCAAGCATATGTTAGTCCGGCAAGACGCAAGCGACCCCAGGCGCCACCGCCGCCTTCTGAGCCTAACGTCGACCTCTTTGATTCTCCTGCTCCGTCGGCTATTCGTCCGAAGCCTCCCACCCCAGCCCGGACTGCCACGCCTCCGACACGCTCAGCTCCGATCCCCGTACGCCCCAAAGCCCCAACGCGGTCTATTCCACCTGTATCTCAAGAGGCGCTTCAGTCGACACACCGGCACCGCGGAAAGGCCGCAGACTCATACAAAAGAGGCGACTATGCAGAAGCCCACCAGAGCTTTTCTACAGCTCTTGGTATGCTCCCTGACAAGCATCCTATCACCATTATCATCCGCAGCAATCGTGCCATGACAGCTCTGAAGATCGGTGAACCCAAGTCCGCTATTGATGACGCCGACATCATCCTGACATTCATTGGCCCGTCTAAGGGCGAATCAGAGGTAATCGATCTATGCACCGGCGAAGCGCCCAAGCCTATGAAAGATTTCTTCGGCAAGGCTTTGATGCGCAAAGCCGAAGCCCTGGAGCAACTCGAGCGCTGGGGTGATGCCGCCCAGGCGTGGAAGCTGGCTGTAGAGTCTGGTCACGGTGGTAGCACGAGCATCCAAGGCCGGAACCGTTGCGAGAAAGCCGCTGGTATCAACAAGCCTCAATCTAAACCCGCAACCCCTGCCAGAAAGAGGCCCTCGCCTCCGCCTAAGAAGGCTTCGGCTATGTCTGATCTCACAGCCACGTCGGCATCTGGATCGGACTTTGAAGCAGTGAGCCGTCTGCGGCAGGCCAACCAGGCGGCCGAGCGCGCCGACGAAGAGAAGTTTGCTCTTTCTGAGAGTGTCGATGCTCGAATCGCCACCTGGAGGAACGGCAAGCAAGACAATTTGCGTGCGCTGCTGGGTAGCTTGGATTCTGTGCTGTGGCCCGAAGCTGGGTGGAAGAAGATTGGTTTGTCGGAGCTGGTTCTGCCGAATAAGGTTAAGATTCAGTATATGAAAGGGATTTCCAAGGTGCACCCTGATAAGGTATGTTTACCCCTTCTCCCTTCTTATGTGGTATTGGCTGCATTTGATTTGATTGCCAACTAACGTTCCCTATAGATCTCTACCACTGCCACTACGGAGCAGCGTATGATTGCTGGATCTGTGTTCGGAACCCTCAATGAAGCGTGGGATAAGTTCAGAGCTGAAAATAACCTCTGAGAAATCCTATTCCCCTGTTAATACCATCTACCCATCGTCGGTTCGTTTGCATTTCATGATTTCCATTATCTAGAAGGCGGCTTTGATAGCATCTTTGTCCTATAGAGAATTTCACATGAGCGGTTGCCTTCTTTATGGTTCTGATTTATGTAGTACTCTTCGATGTTTGTGTGTCATCTATCGTTGACCTCCAGGGCTATTTATCTACGTTCCTTCATTTATCCCCAGGTAGCCTGCAAGACGGCTTGCCTCCTAGGCTAACCACCTTGTATCCAGCTCCGCATGTACAACTTAGTTAACAGGTTCAAGTCAACATGTAAGCCGATTGAATGCCCATTAAACCAAATCTATTTCTACAAGGATTTGCAAATGCTGGTTTGATACCAGAGGGATTGACAACCACCAGCTTGGCTCCAGGATTGCGTACAATTTTGAATAATTAAAGAGCCCTTGTGTAATGATATGTGCGGTGTAGACTGTATTCAAAGACAATAACGCCTCAATCTAGTTATGGAAATTTTATGCTAACGAAACAAGTCACTGGTATCTATTCATCCTCATGCCTCGGTGGTCTCTTCGGCCTTTTCTTCGGCCTTTTCTTCCTCAGCCTTATCTCCCGATTCCGGCTGTGGGTTTTCTTCCGATTTCTTCTGTTCCTCACGAAGCCTTATCCGCTCCATCGCAGCCTCCCTCTTCATTTGCTTCTTGCTTGTCTTCGGCTCATTATCGGGTTTCGCGACCTTGGCGGACGGCCATTGCTCCCGGCACTTTTGTTCATCTTCTTCAGACCAAGCCCGAGGTAAGATCGCAAAGACCAAATATGAGGTGTGTGTTCGGAGATCCGGCTCTGACCGATGTGTCAAGCGACCCTGAGCATATGCAGGGACATCGGTCTTCTCTTTATAGAACGGTGTCTCTTTCGCAATTGGCTGATAATCTGGCTGGTCTTTGGTCATTCGGTTATCACGGATGAGCTTGGCACGTTGTTCGTCACTACGAAGCTTCGCGACTGCCTCCTCAACAGTCTTGGGATACACTGTAGCTCCGCGCACGCCCTCGGCATCCAGCCCGATACGATCGCGCTTGACATCGAGTCGACGTTGGGCGACTTCCACCATTGAAATATTGAGCCATGATAGCTTGCGCATAGTGCGGATTGTACGCTCCGCCTGCTCGAGACAGGGAGAGAATGTGCACAGATAAGCGGGCGACTCGGGGTCGAGAGCGGATTCCTGTCCAGGAGGTGGATTGCGCACAAGATGTTTCAGTGCGAGCCATGGGGCAGGAAGATCAAGGAAGATGGCGTTGGCCTTGGGCGATTTGCCGGTTTTGGGGTCGCCCAGAAGAAATCCGTCCTCATAGACATCGCGATGCGTAGCCTCCACTATCCCATCAAGACCGTGGTCTTTGAGTTCCTGCTGCACTTTGGACGCGCGCAGTTCGTGGAATTCGAAACTGCATACCTTCCCTAGTCGTCGCCGTTTGGTCGCTTCTTCTGTCCCAGGATACCCGTTGAAAACGGCGCGAGCGGAGGCGTGCGTGAACGAGCCGCTGCCGGCTCCGGCTTCGATGACTGTACACCCTGGTCGGGCTCGGAGTCGGTGGAGGATGTAGCTGTAGTCTGGGGTGTAGACGACCTGCGTGCGGTGCGGAAGAGATATGGTCCACGCTTCGGGGGTCGGGGCAAGGATGTGTAGGAACCCGCTCTCCGCAGAGACGGGGGTTCTTAATGATGGCTTCTTCTTGTCCTCCTCTGCGCCAGTTGTTGTTGCCTCCGCATCGAGCTCTTCGGCCTTGCGCTTGGCAGATTTGTTGCGACCGCGTGAGCCAGTATCGACTTTTGAAGCGACGACCTGAGCGCCCCATGGTTGCCCAATCAGGGTACTGTGTGGGAATGAGCCGAATCGCGTGTTGGTGACCTTTCCTTCCCAATAGCCTTGGTTCTCATCGTCATGGTCGCGGAGGATCGTCGGAACGATCTGGTCGCGACGCAGTTGTAAGAGGGCGAGGTTATCCGTGTCGGCTAGGGCGTTCCGAGTGAGGAATGGGGATGTCATGGTGAGCGATATCAGTTAGGATAATTGGTATGGATAATCCCTAACTTGAGGAACTCATTGCCTCTCCGCAAAGAGAAAAAAGGCTGTCATGCTCATTACCTGATCGGGCCATGAATTAGGGCTCAGGGCTCGGTCCTCCCATCCCCAGTTACCGCCAATCACAGCGAGTCCGCAGTTGATGGATGAGTCGATCTGGTCCTGACAAGAGCCCCTCCCCCTCCATTACCTTTGTTTCTTTCTTTATGCTCTTCCCCCGACCCTCCCTTCTTCCCTTTCCTTTCTTTTCCCCGTCCAAACAGCGGATTTTATTGTCGGTCACTTCTTTCAGGTCCATGTCTTCTCGCCAGCAGCCGCCATGGCGGCAACCGGCCTCTAGCCCGGACGCGCAACTCCCTCCGTTGAAGGTGTGGAACTCGTTGACCAAGTCCAAGACCCCCTTCGTCCCGATCGACCCTGCGGGCAAGAAAGTTGTGTGGTACGCGTGCGGACCGACTGTTTACGACGATGCGCATCTTGGACATGCCCGAAACTATGTCAGCACCGATATTATTCGGCGAATTATGCGCGACTACTTCAAGTTTGATGTCAACTTCGTTATGAACATTACAGACATAGACGACAAGGTATGACTCATAGTTGTGTATCTGGATATAGCCTCAAATGCGGTGACTCACCAATCCTATAGATCATCCTCCGCGCCAGACAACAACACCTGTTTAACGAATTCATCACCACCAACCCTACGATTACCTCAGAGGTCCTAGATACCGTCAAAAGCGCTTTCGCCGCCTACTTAAAGAAGAACCTTCCCTTGCTCGACTCCGAACTCCCCCGTCGCGGTACCAGAATGAGGTTGAAAAAACCTATGCGACAATCTTGAACGGTGGAGCTTTGCCAGGAAATGAGAAGGCAGGTGATGATGAGGCCAAGGTTAAAATGCACATCAAGACGGCTGCGTCGGCCGCAAAGGTCTTCGCGCAGGCTGAAACCCGTGATGGCTCGAGTGCCGACCCTGCTCTCTTTGCTGAGTCATTCTATTCGAATGCGCAGGATCTCATTTTGCCTTACCTCGATGCCATGAAGGGCGCATTGGTTGATGCGGATGATCACAGCATCTTCACCAAATTGACTAAGAGATATGAGGACCGGTTCATCAAGGATATGCGCGACCTGAACGTTCTTGATCCCACCGAGTTGACTCGCGTGACGGAGTATGGTGATGAGATTGCGGCATTCGTGGATCGCATTGTTAAGAATAACTTTGGATATGCTACAAAGGATGGATCGGTGTACTTTGATATCAATGCCTTTGAAGCTGCGGGCCACCCGTACGCTCGACTTGAGCCATGGAGTCGGTCAGACAACAAATTGGCTGCAGAGGGCGAAGGCTCTTTGGCCAGCAAGACGACAGAGAAGCGCGGTGCTTCCGATTTCGCTCTCTGGAAGTCGTCCAAGCCAGGCGAGCCGAGCTGGTCCAGCACCTGGGGCAAGGGCCGCCCTGGTTGGCACATCGAATGCTCAGCCATGGCATCAGCCCGGCTGGGCAATCACATGGATATTCACTCTGGTGGTATCGATCTTGCCTTCCCGCACCACGACAATGAGCTGGCCCAGAGTGAGGCATACTGGCACGGTGACCACGAGCATGACCAATGGGTTAACTACTTCCTCCACATGGGCCATCTTTCTATTCAAGGATCCAAGATGTCTAAGTCGTTGAAGAACTTCACTACTATCCGGGAAGCGCTTGATCGTAAAGACTGGTCGCCGAGAAGTCTGCGCATTGTTTTCCTCCTGGGTGGCTGGAAGGACGGTGTTGAGATCACAGAGGATCTGGTAAACAATGGCAGCTCATGGGAGGAGAAGGTAAACAACTTCTTCCTCAAGGTGAAGGATCCTGCGGCTCTCCAGTCGTCAGGCACCGACACCACCTTTGCCGCTGATCTGGAAGCGGCCAAGAAGGCAGTCAACGACCAGCTCTGCGATTCTTTCAACACTCCCGCTGTCATGGCGTCGATCTCCGATCTTATCTCCAAGTTCAACATTGCCGACAAAACCACCGTGCCTTCCGAGGACGTTCACGCTGCAGCCCGATGGGTCACCTCCATGGTGAACATTTTCGGTCTCAATGGCACGGCCTCGGCTGATAGCACTGAAATCGGCTGGTCTGGTATTGATATCCCCGAGGAGGCCAAGCCCTACCTGTACCCTCTGTCCGCTATGCGTGACACGCTCCGTGAAGCCGCGCGGTCCAAGGCTGGCATCTCCGCCAAGGACATCGAGGCGGCAGTTGCCAAAGCATCGGCACCCGAAGAGGCCTCCGAATCTGCCAAGCCATTCGCAGAGCTTTTCTCCAACTTCCGTAATAAGGTGGTGTCTCTAGAGTCATCTGAGTCTATTGGCAAGGATATTCTTTCCCTGTGCGACCGGGTGCGAGACATCGACCTCTTCGATGTTGGTATCGCCCTCGAAGATCGGGAAAACCAACCTGCCATGGTCCGGCCAGTCACCCAAGAGATGATCAAGGCGCGGGAAGAGAAGGAAACCCGAGCCCTCCAGAAACAGGCTGAAAAGCTGAAGAATCAGCAGGAAGCCCTCAAGAAGGCGGAGAAGGGCAAGCTGAGCCACTTGGAGATGTACCGCACCAATGAGTACAGCGCCTGGGACGAGGAAGGCATGCCTACTCGCGACACTGCCGGCGAGGAGATCACCAAGAGTCGCGCTAAGAAGCTCCGCAAAGACTGGGAGCGTCAGAAGAAGGCACATGAGGCATGGTTGGCTACTCAGGCCAAATAGAAACCAACAAAACAAAAACAAAGGAGAGCATTTTTTATTTTTACCTATCTAGTTTGATGGGGTATCGGGTATCTTGGGGGTGGGTTTCCACTTTGCATCGCGAGGCGTTTCTCTCGGCATATATATCCTTACCTTCTTATGCTATACAATGCGAATATTGCCTGATTGGGATTCTTTAAGCACCATTACCTCTCTCAATTTACTAAATAGTCAGTTAGTTCTAGTTAGTTCTAGTGATTGTTATTACACGGTGTAAGCTTGACCCAGCTCTATTTCATACTTCCGTCATACTTTCTAACGCATTATCCCCCTGTTGCACCACAATATACATGCAGTGCTAGAGTGCTATAGATGCAGAGTACATTTGATTCAGATACACGACCCACTATCAAGTCACTCGGGCCGACAAATCCGTGCCACCTGCGGAGTGTAGTACCCCGGACAACCCCAATTAAAGGGTTTATGGAGTTGGAGAAAGTGGGATGTCCATTTCCCTCCCTATAATTCTTCCCTTCTTTCCATCAGACCCTATCCTTTCTCGTTTACTAGATCACCTATCTCATATCTACTTCCTATACACTCAAGATGGCAATGCAGACAGGTCTCGACTATATGCGTTTGCGCACGCATGTCGACTGTGATACGATGGACGACGAAGGTAAGCGAATTGACCATTCTAGATCAAAGAGACTTCGATCATTTTCAGATATCTGACTACTATTTAGTCGCCAAAACCCTAGGCCCATTCCAGGACTGCACTTCCAATCAAGTAAGTGCATGACCATGCTCTCTAATTGGGCCATGAACCTAACCCCACAGGCTATTGCACTCGGCGAGCTTTCTAAGCCAGCACGGGCTGAAGTTATAGCGGCGTCGCAGGCAGATGCGAAGGCACTGCATCCGAACTACTTGTCCGTCCGCGTTGAAGAATTGGCTGTCGATCTTGCGGTAAGTTTTGCTTCGATTATTGAATAAGGTCCACTAATATCTTTTCAATAGATGGTTAGATTGGCCATAGGAATGGCGAAACACATTCACGGACGTGTCCATGTACAGGTCAATCCTTATAATTCATACTCATCGGAGAAGATTGTCGTCAATGCACTCCGTATGTTTGACCATCTTCATTGATATTGTTCTTGCTTAATTGAACTTGATGCTGATCATATCATTCATAGGAATCCTACAATTGTTCCAGCATGTCCAGCCAGGCTTCGACGTCACTCGCGTTTGCATCAAGATTCCGAGTACGTGGGAAGGAATGATGGCCTGTCGCACCCTCCAACTAGCTGGTGTGCATACTTTAGCAACCACACTGTTCAGCATGACTCAAGCTGTACTCGCAGCTGAGGTCGGCTGTACTTATATCGCACCATATGTGAACGAATTGAAGGTTCATGTGCAAGCAGGGTAAGTACCAGACTCTTCTTTTAAGTCGTGTCTAACACTTTTCCCATTTTAGTTTCGTGGACAATGCGAAATTGCTCCCGCTTTGCGCAGCCATTCAGGAATACTACAAGTCGATCAATTCGCCCACCAAAGTCCTGCCTGCTAGCTTGACTTCCGTCGAGGAGATCTTCTTGCTCGCTGGGGTAGACCACCTCACTATTTCGCCTGTTCTGTTGAAACAATTGACTGGGCCTTATGCAGGAAAAGACAATTCCCTATTTGATATTGAGGCGACACTTCCAATCCCCGAACGGGATGTCTCTTTCATCAACGATCCTGGAAACTACCAGATCACATTTACACGAGACCTAGGCGGTGCTAGTCAGATCAAGTTGACCGAGGTAAGTGCATACATTAATCAGATTGGATTTTAAGCTCCGCTGACAGAGACCCAGGCTATAAATATCTTTTGTGATGCCCAGGATCAGTTGGAGTTGCTTATGAAGGGAAACTAATAGCTCTCTGGATTTTGGTGTCTCAATATCTCACTATTAAGACACTGCTATCTTATTTGAACTGTAGCTTAGTAAATTGCTTGGAATGAAAGAAATGAAAGAAATGAAATGCTCATCTGAAATGTCCTATACTTCGCACGTGACCATACGACGTCATCCATGGTTCTGTCTTTCATCTTTGGATTTCTCTTCTCTTTGCGCCCCAATTGCCCTTTTATCAACTTGCACAGAGCTGGATCTTCCAGCTACTATATCTGTTTATATTGGGATCCTATTTTTACATTGTTTTGCTTCCCAAACCTTCCGTGGGAGCACTTGACTCTGAATCGCACAGTTCGCCTGCAGGATGTTCCCTTCGCAGGCGGTTAATCTTAACATCGAGGCCCTTAGCGGGATCTGCGGGTAGGTTAGACAAGCAGAACTTCTCTTCTCTTTCTTTTTTTTTTCTTTTTTGCTTCATTTTTTGGTGTTTTTTGTTGTTAGCTGTCAAGTTTATTTGATGCATGCATGTGCGACAGCGGATCTAGATCTACTTGGCCCGACGATCTCTGCCTGTGTTGTTTTTCTTAATCCAATACTAACCAATTCAGATCGGTTTCTATCGCCTGCTGGGTTGTAGTTTTCTCCCCTCAAATTATCGAGAACTTCCGACGTGGCTCTGCAGATGGCCTCTCTCTCATCTTCCTCATCATCTGGTTGGCTGGCGATGTGTTCAACATTTTAGGTGCCGTCCTACAAGGCGTGCTTCCTACCATGATCATCCTTGCAGTGTACTACACTCTAGCAGATATTGTTCTGCTAGGACAGTGCTTTTACTACCGAGGCTTCAACCTCAAAGAGGAGCTATCTCCTTCAGACACGCCGGACCTTTTTGCAGCCAACGATGCGGAGCAGAATGGCGCTGAACATCAACCCCCGCCAACAGAGAGATCAGCCCTTATCCCGAAGCCCAACGGCCAGGTCCAAATTGGAGACCCAACTATCAACGTAACCGGTCAGCAACCCGAAGCCCGCACACGTCCGCTCTCCGATGGAAGACGGCACTCGGCAGCCTCTTACCAAGATATCTTCCACTCATCGGTAGACGCCACCCATCTCTCACCTGCAACTCCCTTTGTCGAACCGACAACGGATTCCGCGCGGCGCCGTGCTCAACGCGCCCGCCGTCGCCGCATCTCCGCCCTCCAATCTGTTCTTTTCAACCTCACCGCCGTCGCTCTAGTCTGTGCTGCAGGTGTGATGGGGTGGTTCGTAAGCCCGGCAGCAAAGTCATCGGCCCCAGACCCGGAACCTCTTGCTATGGATGTGTTGGGTCAAGTATTTGGCTATTTCTGTGCAGTTTTGTATCTTGGATCGCGTCTGCCCCAGCTTCTTTTGAACTACCGCCGTAAATCAACGGATGGTGTTTCCCTGTTGTTTTTCCTCTTTGCTTGCATCGGAAACTTGACTTACGTGCTTTCTATTCTGGCATACTCGCCTATTTGCCATGGTGGGTCTTCCGAGGAGGTTATGGGCCATCGTCACCGTGCGCATTGCCGTCCTGGTGAGGCGGCTGCGCTGTATGGTCGGTATGTACTGGTGAACTTGTCATGGTTGGTCGGTAGTGCGGGCACGCTGTTGCTGGATATGGCGATTTTTACGCAATTCTTCTTGTACAGTGATGGCAAGGGTGATGAGGAGGAAGAAGAGGAAGAGTAGATGCTTAAATATCTAGATGTGATTTATTGCCCATATATCCATGTTTGAATTACAATATTGTTGACTCCGACTCCTGCCTTTTATGGCCTAGCTTTATGATATTAGGGATAAGCCACCAGGTGATTCTAGATATGACACTACTCCCAAGATGTTGTTGATGACTTTGCTGTCAACGATGAGGTTCTGATGTGTTATCTAATTGATTCAGGTTATATATACACGGGAAATTCAGGAATTTTATTACAAAATAATGTTTTTTCTTTATGCTGTCTACTTATATAAATCTTATACCAAGACTACTAGAAAGAAGAAAAAAATACATCACAAGGCCACCTAAGCTGCCGACTATTCGTGTCCATCTTAATACAGGATAATCATTTTGCTCGAAAATTAGACCAAAGACCGCGTGGAAGAACAGCAAGGCCAGTCAGATCGACCTACGATGCTACGCTAGACACGCCGCCACCTCTACCAGATTATCTGACAGCGACTGGAGCTTCGAAGTACCAGCAAGTCCTGATGATCCTGGAAGTCGATAACACCGCACTGCTATAGTTGGTAAAAAAGAGTACTATCGGTTAATAGGCCTCGACGAAGCCATATTAAAGTTCTTCAAGGATCCTCTGATGCCCGAGGAGCCGAGAAAATGCGAACCAACAGACGAACACACTTTGAGCCTCGGGTATGAGATGGAAACTAGCGGTCAAACCTGATCTGCAGGATCAACTTGCTAGACTGGAGGATATGTTTGCCATAAAATAAGGCTTGCAGATAGGCGGTTGGGTCGTGGTGGCCATGAACATGATTCATGAACTATGGATCATATGGTAAAAGGTCAGTCCCCCGCAAGACTGAAACATTTCAGACAATCATGTATGTCGTAGGGTTTCAATCTCTAGTGTCTATTTACGCTTGAGGGGGGATATTAGGGCAACAGGGTCGGCAGAGATGTAACTTTACTCCTAAGCCAACCATCCGCGTCATGATGCAAGTGTCTCGATATTAAAAAAAACTGGCACAAGCATACTAGTGCAGAATAATGGGTTGCAGGACAGGGATGAGTGAAAAAAATAAAATAAAAGTCATTGTGAGGTGCAGAGGGGCCGGCGCCAATATAAGTTTCACGGAGAACGAATAGAACTCCAACTCACAGCCTATCATTTAAGCTTCGAGTATATATTGTCTACATACTTGCAGCCCTAAGCTGATTTGTATCCCTTAGAACCCCAAATTCCCATTCATATTTCATCTTAGTTGTTCTCGCCGATCCAATATCACGATAAACCCGGTCTATAAGATCCGTGGAAGCTTCCCAGCCAACAATATATCTATACGGAAGATGTGCCGATGAGTTGGGTTACATTCTTTGCAGCCCTGATTCCAGCCCAACATTGTTCGATATCTTTCGTAGCGAAGAGAGAAATATGTATATATAACCTCAATTCAATCACACCATGAAGAGAAACAGAACCAGACCAAGATCCAAAGCAAAAAAAAAGAAACTACCATCCACAAACACAAATACCCCATCAACCGAGCCAACCCATCAATTCAATTCTTTTATCCAAATAACCAATCTCAATGCCGACTACCATGAAGAACCCACAGCTCGTGCATGCAGACACGATCCGAATGGGCAAATGGACCGATTTCCACGGCGTCGAAGCAGACAAACTCGGCACATGCTCTGTCACGGCAATTGTCAACGAGGAAGGCTTCTTGCTCTCCAACACATCCTCGGATGGGTTTAGGGAGATCCCTGCTGCGGAACAGCTGTGTGCGCTCTACAATGGGAACAAACTGCTATTCGGCAACAAGCCGGTGAATGTGTGGATTGTGTATGAGCAGGAAAATGCAGTCAAAGGACGGGGGATTAGGAATGTTATGCGGAAAATCGGACCTGCGCGTGTTTTCGAGCAGGTGTATAATGGGGAATCTTTCATGAACCGGCCGAGCGAGGAGGGTGCGAGGTTTTGTCTGACGCTGGGGGGTGGGTCTGTTGTTGCTACTATGTCCCGGCAGGATAGAGGAGGGTGTTCTATTCTGCTTTCTGGGGATGGGACGACTGTTGTGTGTCGATAGAGAGTGGAAGCAGGTTTGGATTTGAAATGATGGTGTTTGGAAGAGGGGTTTTATATCTCAGTAATTGGAGTCTACGAATTGAAACTACTTGCTTTTCAGACGATTAAGAAGGCAATTTGAGAAAGAAATCAGTTGAAACATATTTCCACCACCTCAGAAACACCTCGCTACATGCGGCTTAGCAATTAAAAAAAATAAAAGAAAAGAAAAAACAAAAACAGCAAGCGGGAAATCATTGATGGTGAGCTTCCACCTTTCCTTTCGCAACCTCAGACCAGTTCGTGCTCAGCGATGTGCCCTGGCTTTCGGTGTAACTTTTGATCATAGCCCGGCGTGTCTCTGGGTCAGCACCAGCATACAACTTCTTGAAGAAGCCGTCGACAGCATCACCACCTTCGTCATCCGATGCATCGGCTGCATTTCCATCGACCCCTGACTTCTCACTTGGTTTCTTCTCAGTGAGCGAGGATACGACCTTGTCCCAATCCTTGGTACCGTGTTGCGACGAGGTGGGGTATGAAGGGCCCGCGGTAGCTGGAGCGTTCTGTGCGGCTGGGTGGTTGGTAATCTCATTGATGTTGGTGGCGGAGCCTTCGAGGGCATTCCATTTTTGGCCGGCTGTCTTCTTTCGCAGAGTGATTTCAATCTTGGTGCCCTTAACGGAGATCTTGGACTCGGCGGGGTTGATGGCTGCATAGAGCGGGTCGAGGGTAAACTCGTATGTAGAGCCAGATGGGAGGGGGAATTGCAGATAGACCTTTCGCAGAGTTAGTTTCAAGTCTAATGATGACCAAGCAAAAGAATACTCACAAAATCTTCCTTCAGATCGACACCGACACTGTCATTTAGGATCCCCTTGGCATAAAAAGTCACAACCACAGAGTCCTGCGACTGATACCACTCATGGCGAACATTCTCCGGGACCATAGAGGGAGCCGCAGCTTGGGAGCTTGAATGTTGAGGGTAAGCATCCAACATAGACTCCTCCCGGGATAGGGTCGATCCCTCGATGAGTTCAGGGTCGAAGAGCTGAGGCTGAATCTGCTGCGAGGCTATGGCGATTCCCACGTTGCCAGCCTTGAGGGCCATCCACTGATCGTTCAGCTCACCTCTGCTCGGAACGTAAACGAAAGATGGGAACTCATGAACGGATACAATGCGCTTCGGATCGTCCTCGGGTATTTCTGCCTCCTTGCGTCGGAGTTTGTTCATCCAAATCGGCAGTTGTGTGCTGTAATTGTTTCTGTAGCCTCCCCATCCAGATCCTGGTCCTCCCATGGTAGCCTGAACCTCCTCATTTCTATTCGCTGGGGGCTTCTCGATCTTGGTTTTATCCGCGATGATCATAAGCACAAATCCTGCATCTCCATATCGCTCAAGCTGGTACAGCGACACGGCACGGCGCATCTGAGCGGAGATGATCAGTTCGCGGTTTCCGCGCTCTTTGGCGAGATGGAGCGCGATTTCGGCATCGTTGAGTGCGGACTGGTAGTCAGGGCCACCATCTGCGGGCTTGAGGCGTGAATAGGCAGTCGATCGCGAGATGTAGTATGCCGGAGCGCGGGGTAACTCGCTCAAGGCGTGGGTGTAGTGTTCAATAGCGAGGCGGTAGTCGGACTTGGCTGAGGCTTCGTCGCCTCGAGCTGCAGCATTCATGATAAAGGGATCAGGGATTATCGGAGTTGGGTTAATCAACGAACACAAAACGCAACCGAGTGCGGAGGGATGAATAAACTCGGATGGCCCAAGCTCCACTTGATCAGCCATTTTGGTGGAAGGACTTGGGGCACGTGATTTCGCGTGAGGGGAAGGTGAGGGGAAAGAGAAGGAGCGAGAGAGAAAGATATGAGAGATGAGTATATATACACATATACTATACTTATATACAAATGGAACAAAGGCAGACATGACTACCTAATTAGGATTAAACAATAGAAGCTTATCAATTGAATACCAATTGAATATCTGATATGGAACAAAGGAAGACATGACTACCTAATTAGGATTAAACAATAGGAGCTTATATCAATTGGACTGATATGGAACAAAGGAAGACATGACTACCTGATTAGGATTAAACAATAGGAGCTTATATCAATTGGATACCAATTGAATACCTGATGAATGAGGGGTTTCATTATTGATTAAGTACATATTGTGTGGGACGTCATTTCCCCTCGAGGTCGTTTACACGAGCTCCGCATTTCCGAACTTCTTACTATACAAGCCCAATGCACGGATAGGCCAGTAGAACTTGTAGTTGGGATATGAGATCATGCTAGATAAAAGGAGAGAGAGGGTCAGTAAATCAAATCCAAAAGAAAGATCAGGTTAGTTTCAACTTACCAAGACTGGTTGAATACACCTTCAATCGCCTCCTGTAGCCACTCCCCATTACGCTGCTGGCGAGACATTAACAGTCTAATGCCCCTCTCCAATGGTTCTTTGTGCGGGTATCCCGCCTCCATGAGTCCAAGAAGAGACCAGGCAGTCTGACACACCTGGGACTTCTCATGCTGAACATACTGATGGGTCGAGCTACTCAGATAGGACTCGCCCCAGCCACCATCGGCCTGTTGCTTCTCGATCAGGAAGTCACAGCCCCGCCGAGAGTCGGCGCTTGTTTCGTATGTCTCGCCGACGCTAGCTAGACTTTCGAGCGCGAACAATGCCGCGTAGGTGAAGCAGATTCCCCAAGAGCCATACCAGCTACCGTCGGCGCGCTGGACGTGCTTAATGTGGCCGACAGCCTTCTGCTTCGCGGCGCGGATTTCATCGGCGCGATATTTAGGGTAGAATTTGCTGAAAAGTGACAGGGCCGTAACAGATGCCGTTGTGCATTCGGGGTGGTCATAGCTAATCATGATTCCACCGAAGACCTCCGCAGCATTGAGCCATTCGACCTTGGGTGAGGCACGGGTAATTTCGTACTCGGAGAAGCCACCGCTTGGGTTTTGCATAAGCAAAAGACAGTCGACAGCGTCCTTTAACCGCTGTTCGGGAATCAGCTTAGGGAAGTCGTGCATCTCCTGCAGCTGAAGTGTTGATCGGAGACCCTCGGCGGTGCAATCGCTAACTGTGTAGCCTTGATCCTTGGTGCTGAATGGCCAAGCGCCCTTACGGTGTTGGCGGTAGCATTTTTCTTGGTCCGGCACATTCTCTCGTAATTGATGGTCGTCGAGGAATTCGAGAGCTTTCGTCAACATCGGCCGCCATTTGGGCTCGTCGGCGAAACCAGCGACGACGATCGCCTGGGTGATGAATGCCGTGTCCCAAACTTGCACGCCGTTGGTGCCATTTGCGAGCATGCCCTCGCCCTTCACCCACATGTAGTCATTCAACCGCTCCCTGTGTTGGCGGACAGAGTAACTGTCTGGGCCGTCGTGGATAAAGCAAGCCACCATGTTCATTGGATTGTTGACAGGGCCCAGCCCCGCGTATTTGGTGTTTTCATCTTCCATGCGAATCAATTCCCAGGTCCATTCCTCGGCTCGCTGGACAATACTGGGGAGTCGAAGGTAAGGGTTCCAGACCCGAACCAGCAGTTCATTGGCTGCATTCAACAGCCACGTCTTGGGGTAATAATTGTCTACCTCGTGAATCGAATTGCGATGCGCAGCGAAATCAACAGAGCTGTACGGCTGGGTGTATAGCTCTTCGCGCAGCTGTCTTGTCAAGTCATCTAGAGGGTGAGACCATTGCTTAGACCACAGCCAAGACATTGGGAGGAACACCTGGCGCATATGAATCCACCACCGCCAAGGAGCGAAGGGAACCCAGTCGGGAAGAAGCCTATGTAGTCTGTTAATAAAAGAGAACCTGTACTTGTTGCAATGCGTGGACCAACCAGATCTCAGGGGGAACTGGGTTGACACCCTCCCACTCCATCACTCCCAGAATACTGAGCCAGAACTTAGCCCAATGAGGGCCATATGTGGCACCCCCGAACTTATGCAGAAGACCCCGAGCTTTGATCATGCGCGGGTCCTCTTCGCTGACACCGATCAAGCGCAGTGCCACATAGTTCATACAAGTACCGAAGACGGAACTGTGGCCTTCGATGTGCAGACCCCATCCACCGTCCTCTGGGTGTTGACGGGCAAACAGATAACGCTTGATCTCCGTTGCATACTCAGGGGGGATAGGGGTATTGGTCACATAGTAAGTGATCAAAATACCCGGCAGTAAAAACATGGGGCCACCATACTCGCAGGCCCAGTTTCCGGGTTCTAGTTGAAGATGCGAGAAGAATGAAAGTCCATTCTCGGCGGCTTTCAATGGTGTCTTGGCCTCTGGCAGCTCTGGAAGTCCCTATAATGCGCCATTAGAATTGGATGAAAATTTAGAATTTTGCCAATTGAGTGAGGGTTACATACCGTTGGCATTCCCAAATGATATTTATCAGCTACTGATTGCGGCCACTCTTGGTTATCCACGTCAGATTCGAGATACCGCCATGTTTGACGGCCTTCTTCATCGACCAATCGCCAGCGCGAGTAGTCGGTTTTGAGATCTCCATTGGCATCTGGGGTGAGATGGCCCTCGGCTGAAGTTCTCCATGGCCCAATATGAGGAGTAGAAGACATGATATGAAGAATTGGGTCTTTTTCACCAATCTAGTAAAGACAGTAAACAGCTTGGAGAGTCCAAGGCGAGGAACCTTGGAAACCGGGAAAGCTTAGTCATCAGTATCATGACTACGGTGTAGAATGAAGAATGTTTTTACCTCTGTGATACCAGTCAGACAAATTGATTAAAATGAAAAGAACTAAGAGAAGGAAGAGGAGAATATCAAGGATGTTCTGATCAAGAGACAGGGGGTATACGAGGCGTGGTGGTGATGTGGTGGAGTAGTGTATGGTTTTGGCATTGCTCTACATAACTAGTTATACAGTGGTACACTTCAAGAACTCCAAGCCTCAAAAGAACACCGAGAATAGTTAATTAGACTAAAATAAAATAATAGTTATAGTGTAGAAGTCCAGGTAGTAATTTTCTAG